GTAATAAATAAAAAATCTACTGAAACGTGACAAGTTGAAATTAACAAAATATTGAACAAAAATATATTTCATAATTGGAAAATTCAATTTCATCAATGAAAGAATATATTTCGTTTTCAAATCAATTAATTGAATATATACCATAATTTAAATGTAACATAAATATATATAAAAGGAGAGACAATAAAATCCGTAATTATCACATGTTTTTTATTCTAAAATGAGAAATCTTGTTCTGTGATCGAAATTTCTTTTATAATTAATTTAGATTAATTACATGGTTAATCTGTTGTAGACTTAACTTCAATAAAATGTGAATATTCTAGTTCTATGAACAATTGTTTTCAGAAATGAATTATTTTAAAAACATGTATAGTCTTGTAAAGAAATACAGATGATCATGAAGAGCGTTTTTTTGTCTAATTCAGTGATAGTAGAAATCACAAACTACTGGTGCTGAATTCAATCACAATAAAATCCGTAGTTCAAAACACGCATTTTATTATAAAGTAGTAGAAAATATAAGTGAATCAGTGAATCAGGAACAACAACATAGATTAAGAGATCCTTGCTTGAGACAGAAGCCATTCTTAAAGCCGTTCTTAGTGCAACCTGTGTTGCATTGTGGACTGCATTGCCCTATGCAGTGAAAGCCTGGATCAGTTATTCCTGTTACTGCTTCTGGTACTGCATTCAGATCACAATTTCACCATAAATTGAAAAATAAATATGGATTTTTGCAGTTGTGAAAAAAATAAAAATAAAAACTTCTTTCTTCCACTTACCTGACGTCAGAACCAAAGCAACAACCAAAACTCCCAAGATGAAAGATTGACAGAAGCGGGAACCCATTTTAAGAGAACTTTAGTTCTGAAATTCTGATATTTCTTTCTGCTCAAATTAATGTTTCATATGCTGCTCACTGTATAATATATATATATAGAATTTTGTTTTTAGGAAAACGGTAACACTACGTACTTTTATCTTCATTCGACACATAGTATAAAGATAAAATAGTTATAAAAATGAAACATTTTGTATTTTTTTAATAAAAAACAAAAAAAAAACAAAGATAATATCAAATATGAATATAAAAGATTTAGGTATGTTAAAGAATATTTTATTTTTCAGGAATATCTGTTGAATGAAAAATGTTTTTTTTCTCTGGTCAAAATAAATCACAGGTTATTTAATAGTTTTGAAAGTCAAAATGTACCTTAAAATTTTTTACTTTAAATCTGTATAATATTTTACATGTTTAATTTAATCATAGGTTCAACGTTCAAATAAAGAATGTTGCTTTAATTTTTTACAGAAATTATAGTTACGATTTGTAAAATATTATTCTTAAAAAAATTTGAAACGTATACTTGAATCATTTAATTAAAAACCATAGGTAACTTGAACGTTTTTAAAGAAATGTTTGATGAATAATTTAATTGATCGTATCTTAATCAATAATATTATTTAATTATTTGAGTTTTGAATTTGAAAATTCTTCTACGATGAATTTTAATAAAGGTATTTATTACTACATTTTAATAAAGCTAATTGTAAAACAATTTAACCTAACCTACCCTAAAGATGCTAACATAATTTAATTTAAGATGCTAATCTAAGTTAATTCATGATTATAAAGATATTCAATGAGTATATTTGAATATCAATCACACTATATAATCCCAATGAGTATATTTGTAAAATTGAACCAATTGGGTCCTCTCCCCTTAAGTTTCCAAGACGCGTTAAACAGATGCTGAGGTGTATTTTTTTTACATGGCGTGACATTGTCTATTAAATTGAATAGGCGATTTGTTGTAAATCAACAATTCCACGTGGATGTGCAAACAAAACGTGGATGTCAACCAAACCCAACAAGTTCTACTTCTTCTGTGACCACCGGAAACCGTCCCAGAATCGGCCCACCGGCCGCGACGGCCTCTTCTTCAGCCGCCACCCATCTTGTAGATCTTGAAGCAAAAACCAGCAAAACCAATGGCTCAACTCAATCTCAGAAAGGTACTATTGTTCTTTGCATCAGTTCTTCTTTGGAACCTCAATGTGAGACTACACACTTGTCTGCTACAAGAAATATGTTGGATGCAGAAAAAGAAGTACTAGACAACCCTTCCAAAAAGAAAACCACCACTCAATCCACCAAAAATCAAACCAAACTCATCAAACCCACTGCTCTATCTTCAAAGAATCAAACCAAGACCATCAAATCCAACAACATTTCCTTAAAAAACCAAACCAACAAAAGCAGATCAAACTCACGAGCCAACAAACAAGGAACGAAAGACTCCACAACAACAATCCAAGAACAAACCTACGAAACAGACACCGTCGAGTTGGATTCTGGACGAGGATGACGAATTGGTTTCAGAGTTCACAGATCTACCAAATAGATTCCACCAAACACTCCTCCCCGACCTCGAACGAATCTCAACCACTTCCAAAACCTACATCACAAAGGACCTAGATCCTCCGGTACACATCGACCTCAACTGCCGAAAAGATTTCTCGGTTGTATCTCGCTGGCGAAGTGTTCCACCGCTGCCCGTTTTCTAAGCTGTTTGGTCTCTCCACTGAACTAGCCTCACAGACCTAACATTGTTCCTTGGACCATGCATTGTTCTCTCTCTTCTCTCACCGGAAAAGGAACAATTTTTCAACAATTTGGCCTGAGATACACCGTCGTCTGAGTTCAGATCGGCAAACTATTGTCGCCTTTGCTGGTTCGCTAGATTTGCAAAGGGGTGATCTCGCCTTCCTGGTGCGTTTATCGCGTGGGAAGTGAAGGATGGTTGTTTGGCTGCGCATGGTGGAGCTCGTTTTGCGTGGTAGAGGCGATCTGGGATCGCGATCTCGCTTGGCTGGTTCAAATTTACGAATAATAGTAAATTTGGGTGAATCACCTAAAAAAATTCCACGTAATAAAACACTCCTACATCAGCATTTTAAGAGTGGACCACGTCATCACAATTAACACCGTCTGTCAAAATTTAACGGAGAGGACAAAATTGACTCAATTTTACAAGTATGTGGACCCAATTTTAACACTTTAAAAGACAAGGACCCACTTGAGATTCCCCAACAAATATAAAGATGATCCGAGAGTTTAAACCTATTATATAACACCCCTACAAAATAAAGACTAAGTTTATGGCAGTTAAAAATATTGTTTCTTACGGTTGTAAAAGGTTACAAATAATTATTTTACTGGCACTAAATAATGACTTTTAGCGGTTTTTATCTCTGCGCTGGTAATTTTGCAACAATGAATACCATTATTATTGGCGATTAAACCTTTATTCTTTTTGTGTATTTACGATTTTAGCTACTACACATATTTTTATTTGAAAAAGAATCAATAGCGTATTTTAAATGTCATTATTATTACTTTTGTAATTTTTAACCCATATATTGTCCAAATATAAAAATTTAATCATACAAAAAATTTAATACTTTCAAGATAAAGGAATTCAACAAGATTAACAATAAACATACAAATTCATCAATAAAAACTTTACATAATTATATCATAGTATATTTTCAAATAAGAAGTGTATTATACCTAGTAGAGACAGAACGGTCGTCCACTCAACACCGTTCGGTCTAGCTACAGTAAAAGTACCCGTCAACCAGTTCAAATGGTTTTATCAATATTAGGCCGAAGTTGGACCAGTGTTTAAGTTATGGGTGTTACTCCCTCCACCACCACCACTTGCTTCCTCCACCACCCGATTCCTGTTTTACCCTTCTCTTTATTTTCCCATTCCTATTTTACCCTTAATAAAATTTTAGGGTTAATATTTTTTAACCTCTCTACATGTATGAAGTGCAACAACTCTTCTTCCTCTTTATCATTTGTCCCTCATTGTTTCATTGTGTTCTTCTTCCTCTCACGTTCCACTTCTTCCTCTCGTTTATAGAATTGTGGTGTGAGAGAGTGTGGTGGACTTTCAGTGTGCCTAGTGAGAGATTGCAAGTGGTGGAAGCAATTGATCAGTCGTGCTATGTGGTGGTGGTGTGGTGGTGCTTGAAGGTGCAGGTCCAGAGATTTGTCCTGAATGTGCAAAATAAACCCTAAAAAATAAACGTATAATCTTTAAACGGATGTGAGCATCCGTCACCGGATATCAACATCCATTTAAGAGAAAATGGATGTCGATATCCGTTTTTCCTTAAACGGATGTTGACATCCGCTGACGGATGCTCACATCCATTTAAAGATTATACGTTTATCTTCGAGTTATTTTTTATATTAATTTCAGAGATATTTTAACAATGTAATTTATATGTTTTGATATATTATATTTGAATATATTTTGATGTATTTTAATAATGTATTTTTGAAGATCTTTATTGTGTTAGTATATATTTAGATTTTTTTATATTTTGCTCGTTATATATAATTAGTTTCTTGTTTTAATGTTTTTGTATAATATATGTTTTTTATATATGATTTTTGTATTCTTTAACAATTTTATAATTATATAATAAATTATTTATTAGTTTAATGATATGAAATATATAATTTTATTATATTAATATTTTTATATTTGTTTGATTAATTATTAATTATATTAATAAGACTTATTATAATTTTAAAGGTGATTATTGTTTAAAATGGATGAATATCTTCATATGGATTCTCAAGTTGGTTCTAGTTTGATATCCGATTTCTCTTCATTCATTAGCAAAGTTGGAGAGGGGGATTTGACAAATAAATTTACCACAAATGAAATATTTCGTTCACGGGAGCACTTAATTGATTGGGTGAGAGAGATGACTTATGATTTATGATTTGTTGTGGTAATAGTAAGATCTGATATAGCTACCGGTGTACGAAGAAGAAAAACGTTCGTCATACTTGGATGTGAAAGAGGAGGGAAATATTGGAAATACAAAGCCGATGTGGTGCCTAGTGTATACGACACTCGTAAATGTGAGTGTCCGTTTAGATAAAAGGGTAAACCATGTTCAGACGGTGATGGATGGTGTTGAAGGTGATGTGTGGACATCACAACCATGAGTTGGCTGAAACTTTAGTTGGACATCCTTATGCTGGCAGGTTAAATATGAGTGAGCAGTCATTACTTGTTGATATGACAAAGAGTAAAGTTACACCTGAAAATATTTTATTAACCCTCAAACAAAATCATGATCGAAATGTCACAACGATTAAACAAATCTACAATGCAAGGCAAGCGTATAAACGATCATTGAGAGGGTCCAGAACTGAACTACAACAACTTATGATGTTGTTGGACCGGGATAAGTACATTCATTGGAGTAGGTGTGCCGACGATTTAGAGGTTGTTACTGACCTATTTTGGACACATCCTAAAGCGGTGAAATTGTTAAACTCATTTAATGTTGTATTTTTGATGGATTTCACATATAAAACAAACAGATATAGACTTCCATTGCTTGAGATTGTGGGCGTGACGTCTACAGGGTTAAACTTCTCTTCAACATTTGCTTTCTTGTCTACTAAACGAAAGATTAATTTCACATGGGTTTTGGAAAAGCTGAAAGGTTTATTTTTAACATCTAAGGGTGGTCCTAAAGTCATTGTGACTGACCGAGACTTGGCTTTGATGAATGTCATTGCAAATGTATTTCCTGAGTCATATCAGATGTTATGTCAATTCCACATGCTTAAAAATGTTAAAGCTAAATGCAAAAATGTTAGTTCATTCTACTGAGGTTTGGGGTGTGTTGATGGATGCATGGCAAAATGTGATGGATTGGTGAGTATGTGAATGGTTTTCAATACGCGAGCAGTTCATGGCCTTTGTTATTTGAATATGTGAATCAGACTTGGATTATTCCATACAATACATACTTTGTAAAGTTTTAGACGAACAGAGTAATGCATTTAGGGAACACAACCACAAATAGGTATGTTGTAATGTTATTTTATTTATTAGTTTTGTAGAGAAATATTTATTTACACTTGTTGATGTTTTTTTTTATTTCAGGCTTGAGTCTGGTCATTGGAGTCTGAAGAAAGTTCTGGGCAATAGTATGGATGATTTGTGTTCTTGTTGGGATAGTATTCATAACGTCGTTATCCTACAACACAACAAGATTAAGGCGTCATTTGAAAGAAGTCTATTGCTCACGAGTGACCCTTTTAAAGGATACATATATAAAAAACTTATTGGGTGTGTCTCTCGATATGCATTGGATCTCATTGTTAAGGAATTGGAAAGAGTGCAGCAGATAGGATTGGACTCATCAAAGTGTGGATGCGTATTGAGACGTACATTTGGTGTCCCCTATGCATGTGAATTAGCACGCTATGATGTTGGATTGATCCCTCTGGGTGAATTTCATATCATGTGGCGAAGATTGCATTTCTCAAATGTTGAATTAAATGAAACCGAGCTCGAGTTATCCATTAAAGATGAGTTGAAACAAGTAGAAGAACGATTCAATGAGGTTGACATTGGAGGTAAAGTCATCATCAAGCAGAATTTACTTGAAATTACTTGTCCTACATTGACATCAATGGTCCCTCCATTACATAAAGTCAAGACAAAGGGTGCCCAAAAAAGTAAAGTTCAACGAAGAGAAAGGTCTACTACGCGGGATCCATCATATTTTGAGTATGTCGATGCCTTTCATTCAACCATAGAATCTTCAACTGTGAAAAGTAAATTACAATCAAAGCCAAATGTAGTGAAGAAAAGAGAGTTCCAATGATAGACCAGTTTCATTCTATTACTTACCCCTTCATTGTGGACGTTGTTGATGTTGTGGCTGATGGTCACTGTGGATATAGATGCATTGCTGCGTCGTTGGGACATGGAGAAGATTCATGGCCCGTTATCAGAAATGATTTGTACAAAGAACTCAGTCAATGGCGTGATGAATACGCAAGCCTAGTAGGAGGGTATGATAGACTAGAAGAACTGAGGAACTCTTTGTTGGTGAGATCACAATTGACAGTAAGTGTTTCCTGTTTTATGTATTTTATTTATTATATTTATTTTATCTAACAACTTCTTTTATTCATAACAGGCTAATAGGAATAAGTGGATGACACTACCAGACATTGGTTATGCAATTGCTAACCGATATAATGTCATCTTAGTGTGTATGTCATCATCTCAAATACTATCTTCCCACTACGTTCCACAACACCTTATGAAATAACTCAACATCGGTTAATTTGTATAGGACATGTTCATGGATGTCATTTCGTGCAGGTAATTGTATTATTTTGTGATTTCATTTGAAAATTACTTATAACTCAATTAACTATTGTAATTTGTATTATGGCAGGTTAAGTTACAAGAAGGTTGTCCTTTGCCCATGGTGAATATCATCTCCTCAATCCACTGTTATCCTGAGGCACGAACATGGTCATCTATTTATACTAGTAGGATGCAATCATTTGCACAATTGATGAGCGTAACGACATCTTATGTTGACTTGGGTGATTCGTGATATTTATAAAGATATGTAAAAATACACTATTACTTTTTGTTAAGGTGTATTTTAAGCTTTTTATGGAGCCACACCCTTCATTCAACTAAAATACTAAACATTTACGTTTCTATCTTATAAAAAAACTCCTGGACGTATATCTCTCCCTTCTTTTCCTTTACGTAACTCCTAATATAATATTATATTATATATATATATATATATATATATATATATATATATANCGTCATTTGAAAGAAGTCTATTGCTCACGAGTGACCCTTTTAAAGGATACATATATAAAAAACTTATTGGGTGTGTCTCTCGATATGCATTGGATCTCATTGCTAAGGAATTGGAAAGAGTGCAGCAGATAGGATTGGACTCATCAAAGTGTGGATGCGTATTGAGACGTACATTTGGTGTCCCCTATGCATGTGAATTAGCACGCTATGATGTTGGATTGATCCCTCTGGGTGAATTTCATATCATGTGGCGAAGATTGCATTTCTCAAATGTTGAATTAAATGAAACCGAGCTCGAGTTATCCATTAAAGATGAGTTGAAACAAGTAGAAGAACGATTCAATGAGGTTGACATTGGAGGTAAAGTCATCATCAAGCAGAATTTACTTGAAATTACTTGTCCTACATTGACATCAATGGTCCCTCCATTACATAAAGTCAAGACAAAGGGTGCCCAAAAAAGTAAAGTTCAACGAAGAGAAAGGTCTACTACGCGGGATCCATCATATTTTGAGTATGTCGATGCCTTTCATTCAACCATAGAATCTTCAACTGTGAAAAGTAAATTACAATCAAAGCCAAATGTAGTGAAGAAAAGAGAGTTCCAATGATAGACCAGTTTCATTCTATTACTTACCCCTTCATTGTGGACGTTGTTGATGTTGTGGCTGATGGTCACTGTGGATATAGATGCATTGCTGCGTCGTTGGGACATGGAGAAGATTCATGGCCCGTTATCAGAAATGATTTGTACAAAGAACTCAGTCAATGGCGTGATGAATACGCAAGCCTAGTAGGAGGGTATGATAGACTAGAAGAACTGAGGAACTCTTTGTTGGTGAGATCACAATTGACAGTAAGTGTTTCCTGTTTTATGTATTTTATTTATTATATTTATTTTATCTAACAACTTTTATTCATAACAGGCTAACAGGAATAAGTGGATGACATTACCAGACATTGGTTATGCAATTGCTAACCGATATAATGTCATCTTAGTGTGTATGTCATCATCTCAAAATTATACTATCTTCCCACTACGTTCCACACCACCTTCTGATATAACTCAACATCGGTTAATTTGTATAGGACATGTTCATGGATGTCATTTCGTGCAGGTAATTGTATTATTTTGTGATTTCATTTGAAAATTACTTATAACTCAATTAACTATTGTAATTTGTATTATGGCAGGTTAAGTTACAAGAAGGTTGTCCTTTGCCCATGGTGAATATCATCTCCTCAATCCACTGTTATCCTGAGGCACGAACATGGTCATCTATTTATACTAGTAGGATGCAATCATTTGCACAATTGATGAGCGTAACGACATCTTATGTTGACTTGGGTGATTCGTGATATTTATAAAGATATGTAAAAATACACTATTACTTTTTGTTAAGGTGTATTTTAAGCTTTTTATGGAGCCACACCCTTCATTCAACTAAAATACTAAACATTTACGTTTCTATCTTATAAAAAAACTCCTGGACGTATATCTCTCCCTTCTTTTCCTTTACGTAACTCCTAATATAATATTATATTATATATATATATATATATATATATATATATATATATATATATATAACACCTAATATAATATATTATATATTTATATATACATATATGTACGTAACTTTTATAGCATGCATATCAAAGCGGCCCCACTTCAATGCCCAATGCTAAAATCACTAATATACCTGGCATAAAATCACTAATATACCTGGAAGAAAAGTAAAACTTATGTACTCTATAAAAGTAATGTGATGAATGACAATTGTTTTGAAAGGAATCCATAAAAATTTCATAATGAATGGCATATTACTTTGAAATAAGTACTACATGCAAGGATTCCATATAAAGTATATAAAGTATGATTAATGGTGTATATTTAGATTAATAAAAATAAAACAAATAATATAATCTTTGTAGAAAATCGTAGTATTGTACCACATTTAATAATGCAAGTTTTATAAAAATTAAATTACAACTCTAAGCCATTAGTTGAAATAAACCTCTGCACCATATTTATAAAATGAAAATCATATTAAATGAAAATAGGGTGAATGGCATAATATATTACAACTTGTCTAAAAGAACCTTCCAACATTCATTAAGCATGCACAGACCCAGTAACAACGATGCACAAAAGACTTTACTCTCATAATATTAGTTGTATATTGAGGAAATACAAAAAATTTTAAGAAATGAAAAACATACAAAATGTAGTAATTTACTTAAGGCCAAATTTTGGAAAAGAATATTATTTAACGAACATTTAAGGTAAAAATTAGTGTATCCCAAATAATACATAATCTCGTGAGTCATAACTTGTTAAAAAAATGAAATACAAAGTCCTATGAATTAGACGTCGACCGTTTACCACGCACATGCCTCTGCCCTCTCCTAGTCGGAGAATATTCGTCGATGCCCTCATTAGCAATCTGAAGTAGGTCCACCGACACCTGATGTACAACAGTACCCTCGGTCACATGACAACACAATATCAACGATTGTAACATTCTCGCCATTCGCCTAAATCTAGCCTGCATTATAATTATATCAAACAAATAAATAAACATGGTTAAGAAAATTTAATAACATAAGCAATGAAAAATAACATACCACGAAGCCAGATGGTGAAGGTGGAGAGGATCTACGATGGGGTCGTGCCTCCTGTGGAACATCGGGGCGTTGTGTAGGCGCAAGAGCCGGTCTCGCGTCAGGAGGAGCAGGAATAATATAGGGATGTGAAACCCTCCTAAACCACTGTATGTATCCATCGAGACATTCAGAAGGCTATGATGCCTGTCTCACATTCATAATAACGTGATTCATGAAGTGCAACCACGCATAATCAACAACGACTACATTTGCATCTGCAACGGCAGTGGGTGGTCGTGGAATCTCCTGGTATAACCCAAACTGCCTCATCACACGCTCAGAAAAATGACGGGAAAGGGTGTCACCAATCCAAATCCATCCAGAATACATACATATGCCGAAGAATGGACGAATGCCCTGATGTCCCTCATATGGATGTCATACAACTCCACTGTATGTCAGGCCATCCAACTGTGACCAAATCTCTGCAAGAGTCGAACTCTGCCGAGGGCTCTGCCACCTAACTGCACGTGATGTGGTCTCATCATAAGAAGACACCAACCGCCTCCTTCCCATTCTAGGGAAATGCTCGTATATCCAACTCTAAAAATGCAATTATTCAATTAAATATCTTTCTTCTTTGAACATGGAAATAAGTACATCAAATAAATGTGAAGGGTATATGTCTGTACCTGACACAAAGTCAGAAATCCAGCCATCTGCTTCAAGGAAGCCAGACTCGCATCCCTGAGCTGGTCGTACAAATAGGCGAGTGCAACAACACCCCAAGCATATCTGCCACATGCGTGTACATCTTTAAATAATAATAGGTAAGACACACGTATAGAAGTGACACTTTTATTTGTGAAAATAGTGCATCCTACTATATGCAACAGATATGCTCTGGCAGCATAATCCCAATGTTGCGGCTGACACCTCTGAACATATATCTCTCTGAGCCAGCTGAGTATGACTTTCGAACCACGTGCATCCTCCATCTTAGCATCAGCTGCGCCACCATCAACGCCAAGCAGGTCTACAAGGGCTCTACGAGCCTCCTCAAACTCCAACTCCTCCAAATCACATAATTGTCCTAGTACCGGGAGGTGAAGTAAAGTGGAGACATCGTCAAGAGTGATCGACATCTCCCCTACAAGGAGATGGAAACTACTCGTCTCAAAGTGCCATCTCTATATGAAATTGAGCAACAAGCCCTTATCAACGTAATCATAACAAATACCTGTGAGAGGCATCAAAGAGGAATTCAACACAATGTGTTGAATTCCTTCGGCGCATGGTCCTAACTTATTAACTTTTTTACCATGGGAGATCAACTTCAGTATCTCCCCTCGATCCTACACAACAATATTTAATATCAATTGTATTCGAAAAAAACTTAATAATTAAAATTTAAGTTATGCACTCACCCAGCCCTGCGATATACCATAAGCAACATGCTGAACATAGTGCGTCAGCAAAGAAGCATCACGTGGACCTCTAGGAAATCCACTGACATCCTCCTCCTGTATGTCAGGAACATCGACATGTTCCTTCTCCTCATTATCGTCATGAGGAGCTTCAAATGCCTCCTCGTGAACAGGACCCTCATAGGCCTGATATGCCTCCTCCTCAAACGCTCGGTCCTCGACTATATGGTCATCCTGAATTGGAGCTGCATGTCTTCTCCGAGTTGAAGTTGTAGGTCGTCTCCTACCTTCACCCTGTGCAGAACTCTCTCCTCGAGAACTCTCTCCACGAGAACTAAAAGATGCACCTCGTGTTCTTACCATTTCTAACAAAAACATTTTTAATTAAATTTAAAATTATTTCATTAAATTAATATTATTTTTTTCATTAATTTAATAATAATTATTTCATTAAATAAAATAATTTTAATTTAGATATAAATAAATAACAAATTAGAAAAAAACACTAAATTTAAATTAATTAAAAATATAATAAATTAATAAACTAAAAAATTAAAATTAAAACTAATAATAAACTTAAAAACTAAAAAAAAAACATCTAGAACAGATATGCGACATTCGTTCATGGCCTGTTATCTTCTTCCTCTCTCCGAACACACGCACACAACACAGACAAAACACAAAACCACCACAGATCCACAGCAAAACAACATATTCAATACATTTTAAAAAATATTTAAAAGAATCATGAAAAACGAAGATCCTAACCTCTCGTAGACCCAATGACCACCGCACACACTATCGCACCGCACCGGCACCGTCGCATCGCCGAAACGCTGAAGCAACAAAACGAATATGGAGGAGAGATGAGAGATGAGAAGAACGGATGTGGTGGAGTCTTGGGGGTGGGAATCTGGAAAGGGGCTGAGTGAAAAATGAGAATGGGTAGAAAGATAGGGTTTGGGGTTAAAGTAAATAATTAGGATTAAAAGTAAAAAGGTTATTTTTGTAATTAAAAAAGGTTACTTTTGTAATTAAAAAAGATGTAGTGGAGTTAGGGAGGTGGAGGGAGAAACTGTGGTGGTGGAGGGAGCAACACCCTTAAGTTATTAGGCCAAAGGTCCAACATAAGATAATATATTCAAAAGATAATCAAGAATATCTAATTAAAGATATTGATAAGTAGGTTATAAGCAACTAGCCAGATTTTTAGGTAAGTCTTTATATTTTATTCTGTTTATATTTTATTGGGCTTGTGTCAGTTTAAGGTCTATGAGACAACTTATAAATAAAAATCCAGGACCATCAGCCAGGTACGTCCCAATCACGTTCAACTCACACTTCCTGACTCCTAAACATTAAACAGTGATAACCCTTCATTAAATACTCAACTAAGAACCAAGGTTCTTCAAATTCACGCCTAACTTGAGCGTCAGAGTATCTTTTGCAGGTACCTCCCCCCCTTGGAACACGAAGGCAACCGATCGGCCAAGACTGACGTGATCGACAGGCCCACACGGAAGTCAACCGAATGACTCAGACAGAAGAAAGGCAAGCAGCTCAGCGATCCCAACTTTCGGAAGGAAGGAAGACGCGTCAGAACAGGTTAGTTTTTCGGTCCCACAAAATATCTATCGAAACATTTTGGCGCCCACCGTGGGGCTCAGAGAAAGCAGAAGAGGGCTAGATGGTGACCACGAGGAGCATGGACGAACAATAGAATACTAGAGATTTGATAGTGCAGATGCAAACACAGATACAAGCACATACAAGAACCATACAGGCGCAGGCGCACACACAACAAGAGATGCAACGAAAGCACGCAAAGGAGATTGCAGCACTAAGGGCAGAACGAGTCCATACCGAGCGGTCTGCCTCAAACCACGTGAACGAAAATGAGGCAAGTCGTAATCGGCAGCCATCCTAGCACAACAACCCGAACAGTCAAGGAAGGAGAGGACCATCGCCCGTCCAAACCGTTCGGCCTACCAACTTACTCCCTTTTACGATGAGCATCATGCAAACTTTAGTGCCAGAGAAGAATCCTCCGGTATTAGAGAGGTATGATGGCTCAACGGATCCTGACAATCATCTTAGGATCTTCACCAATGCAATGGCGTTCTACACGGACAGTGATCTGGTCATATGTAGGGCCTTCTCCTTATCACTCAAGGACGAGGCATTGGAGTGGTATAACACTCTTCCCCCAAACACAGTGGATTGCTTCGTCACTGTAGAAACCCTCTTTAGAAGGCAATACGCCTCCAATCGGAAATAGGAGATAACACCAATGGATTTGGAAAATACTAAACAAGAGAAATGGGA